AAATCACTTTTTTTTTTGACTGTCGAAGGACTTATTGAGCTTTTTTCGTCTATATTTAGTATTTTGGATGTGTCTGGTAGGGGTGCTAGAAGGGTTGCTGGAGTGGTGGGGGTGGGAGGGATGGGGTGGCTGGGTGATAGACGTTGGGGAGGGTATGTGTCATGGTGAGCGCTGTGAATCGTGTAAGACTGATGAATCACAGACCTGTGCCTCTGAAACAAATAATACATTATAAATTAAAAAAGAAGAAGATAGCAGGAAGGGAAAAATGAAGGGGGGAAATCGGAGGGGGAGATGAACCATGAGAGACTATGGACTCTGAGGAACAAATTGAGGGTTCTAGAGGGGAGGGGGTGGGGGATGGGTTAGCCTGGTGATGGGTATTAAAGAGGGCACATATTGAATGGAACACTGGGTGTTATACACAAGCAATGAATCGTGGAACACTACATCAAACACTAATGATGTAATGTATGGTGACTAACATAATAAAATAAAATTAAAAAAATAATAAAGTGCCTAAAACTCACGAAGCTGGAAAAACTAAAAGTAAGGCATTGGAAGCCAATAGAGATGGTGAAGTTCAGAAAAGCAGAAGGAAACATTCTGCTTCCATTATGCTGTTACTGCTTCCTTTAATTTCCTTGCATTAAATTTTGTGCTCTTTTCCTCACCTCCCCACTGAATCTTCAGAAAGGAGCTCATCGCCAAGCTGGATCAGGCAGAAAGGGAGAAGGTGGATGCTGCTCAGCTGGCCCGGGAATTCGAGGAGCTGATGGAGGAGAACCGGACGTTGAAGTTGGCTCAGTCCCAATGTGTCGAGCAGCTGGAAAAACTTAGAATTCAGTATCAGAAGAGACAGGGCTCGTCCTAACTTTGAACGAGTCAATGTGAGCATAGAAGGTTGTGACGGCTGTGTGCTGGCCAAAAGATTTTTATTTTAAAGGGATGGTGTGTAAAGTATCATTGTTCCTCTTTATTACCCACGTGGCAAACGTCTATTATGAATTTAACGCTTGCCAGATCGAGTTTGAGAGAAGGGATATCTTATTTGAAATAAGATGATCAAAGCAAACCTCTTGCCAGTATATGTTTTCAGAGATCAATAATTCATTTCCAAAGATTTTTTTTTCTTCTTTAAGAAGATGTGATCATCCTGTACATTGGGGTAGAAAACGAAACAAACAAACAAACAAACAAAATAGAATATTGACTGACTCAGCTAAGAATCCTGAACAGAATTGAGCCACGAAACAAACCAGTAAGATGCTCACTGCAGTTTCATATCCGTGTATTTTTAAATTTCACATCTTGACTATTTCAACTGTGTTCGAACCTGAAGTCAGCAACGTCTGCACACCTATTTATGTTCACCAGAGTTAGGTTTAATCCCTCAATGATTGATTGTACTAAGAATAAATGGTTGTGTATCATAAAAGCTTTCTCATGAAAATATTAGCAGAAAGCATGTTTGTGCCAAAAGCACATCTGCCAGTGCTAACTTGCTTTGTAATAAAAAGCTGATAAGGCTGCTTTTCTTTTACGCCACGTTACCAGCCAGTAAACATCTCTGCCTTTGCTTGTGTGTGTTCTGGGGGCATGGGGGGGCATGGAAAAGGATTGTTTGGACATGACTTTCATGAGTTCCCATGAAAACATCAGTAAAACTATAACTATGACTTTGTTTTGGGTTTGAGGAGATATTTTGGATCAGTAATAATGAATAGGAATATATGAATAAATTCAGGAATAAAATGATTTTTCCCTTGTTCCACCTATCACCATATTTCCCCAAACTGATCTCTTTGTTTTATGTTCATTTCTATTCATGTAACTTCTTTTTCATTAAACATGAATCAAAACTGTCAGTCTGTGTTTTGTCCCTTTCTGAGCTTCTCTTAGGCTAAAGATTAGTTGGGTTTGGCCACCCTGCATCAGACTCTGTTCTTCTTGTATCTGAATGTGTGAAGTAAGCAGTGAAGGCCCTTTTCTTGGAAAGACTGTGGTTTCTCATGGAAATCAGGCAGAGTTCTAATATTCAATATGATGCATTCATGTCTTAAGGTATTTTCCCAGAAAACATAAAAGAGAATAGTTGATTATGACAGTAAGATGGCTTAGGATAGACCAGCTGTTACGGGCAGGGGATGATTTTACCCCCTAGGGGCCAGGTGGCAAAGCCTAGAGGCATTTTGTTGTTGTTGTTGTCATGACCAAGATGAAGAGGTGCTACTAGCATCTAGAGACTAGAGGTCGGAGATGCACAGGACAACACCCCAAGTACAAAGAATTGTCTGGCCCAATGTGCCAGTGGTGACAAGTTTGATATATCCAGGACCAGATTAGTTACTGGGTAGGTGGGCAAATGCCAAGGGGAAGCACGTTCTGGGGTCGCAAGTTTCTTGCCATGAGGTGCAGAGTCCATGAGGTCCTTCCATCTCCTGACCCTCAGTTTCCTTATTTGTAAAATAAAGCTTTTAGACAGATCTCAAAGTTTTTAATGTTATGTGCTCCTATTCGCCCTGAAGCTGCTTTAACATTTGACCAAAGATGAAAGTCCCTATTACCCTGGTAGAACCTTCTTAAGTAACCCCAAGGCTTATAAATACTAATATAAAGAAGGGATTGTCCACTAAATTTCTATAAATCCAGGGTTAATGGACTGGGAGGATCAAGAGTATGTTACCAACGTTTATACACAAGCATTAATTTTTGGTCGCTCCCCATCTGAAGAGAGTTACATATACTTACAGATTTCAAGCAGTCATGACCCCTTATAGATAATGTGGGGGGGGGCAGGGAAATATAGTTCCAAAATACCTCTGCTCTACCAGAATGAAAATAATTTTGCGGGGTCAAAATGTTTGAACGCCACTGGTAATATAGTAAGGAGACACTGAATAAATAGTTTTCATGTTTGTGTCAGTCTCAGCCTGAAATTTTACTGTGTGTTTCCAAAAGGTATCTATTCATGACTCAAAAGCAAGAATTTCCCTAGGGGTGTGTGTGTGTGTGTGTGTGTGTGTGTGTGTTTAGCAGACTTTTATTCATTGAAAATGTGAAAACATCATCTACTTTTGAAGCATTACCAGAGCAATCTAAAGACAAAATTTCTTACATTGCCGGTCTTGTCTATTCATTCATTTGACAAATTTCCCCCAATCTTACTTACCGCTGTGTATTACTGACATAACCCAGAATCATTTAAGAATTTTCTATCTTCAAATATATTTATCATATTCTTGCTACTAGCAATAGTGAAAATGCTGCAGAGCATTACAAATGAGCACAGAGGTCCTATAAATATTAAGGTGAAGATACTTGCATTAAGAGCCAGAATTAAAGGAAAATGTAACCCATATTATATCCTGCAATTGCTCTACTAAAGATTTGCTATTTGTGGATCATTTAGTTTATGTAGACATGAAAAGAATGTAGTTATATGTGGCTAGAAGTCAAATCTCTCATCATCGGTATGGGCAGAGCATGTTTCTCTATCTCATTCTGGTACCTGGGCTGGAATGTATCATTAAGTCAGTACAAATAAGGAAATAAAAGCCACCTGGAATTCAAATTCAATTCAACAAAAGTTTATTATACACTTTCCTAGTGCAGGGCGGAGGAACAACAATAGAGGGTGTAAGAATGAGTGACATAGTCCCAGCCTTTGATATGGTTCCAATTTAGTAACAGAAATAGTACACACATTCTAGTTCCTGGAACGCATGAATAATCATAAATGCAATAAGATAAATGGAGTTTATAGTAGGACCTCAAAGAAGAAAAGAATGGCATGAGCAGGACAGTGTTTGGGAAGCACAGAGTGAGAGCCACACATTTGGGGGCAGTAAGTAGTCTTCCTCTAGACTATATATATAGGAGGGTAGTGGAAAATTAAGTTGTGCAGTTCCACTGGGCTCTGGTTGTGGGGGAGTTTGGACAAAAAACGTTTTGAAACGTGGAGGGCTTGAAGATAACTCATATGGTTGCAGTGCATGGGATGGATCACCCGAGACAGAGACCAGAGGCCTGAGGAATTGTCAGAAGGGCAGTAGAAAGGAGTGAGCAAGGAGGAGAGACATAGCAGTTGGAATGGAGTCACAGACTAGGTGGGGTGGAGGGGCGTGCGAAGTAGAACCTGTGTGTGGCCTGGGGTGGGTTGCAAATGGAATCGAAACAAAGAAGATGAGAAGTAACATTTAATGAGCCCCTTCTGTGCCAGATGATGCTAGGTGCTTTATATAGGCTGTATTGTTTAATTCTTATAACAGCTTGAGAGGTCGCTAGAATTAACCCCATTCTCCAAAACCAGTGACTAATGTTAGAGAATTTGTCCAGAGTTCCCTAGCACTGGGATTGAAATACAAAGTTTCATTCTTTTATCATTTAATTCATTCTTTTAACTATTTCCTGAATGCTTGTACTTTGCCAGGCATTCTGGACGGTGCCAGGGACACAACAGTGAACAAGAGAAACATGGGTCCTGTTCTCAAGGTACCCTTGGTCTAGTAAGGGAGGTAGATATTTACCCAAATGTAGTCTTGGGTTAGTCTTGAAATATATCCAAAAATCCCTTCCAAAGGTAGAGCCTAATTTCCCTGCCCTTTAGCGTGAGCTGGGCTTGAAGACTTGTTTCTAACAAACAGAATAGAGAAGGAGTAGCAGTATGTGACTTCTAAGACTAGATCATAAAAGACCTAGGGGCTTCCTTCTCATCTGTTCTCTTGGATCATTTGCTCTGGGGTGAGCCAGCTGCCATGTTCTGAAGAGCGTCAAGTAGGTCATGGAGAGGCCCACATGGTAAGGAGAACTGAGGCCACACCAGTGAACTTGGAAACAGACCCTTCAGCACCAGGCAAGACTTCAGATGGCTGCAGCTGGGCTGACATCATCTTTTTTTCTTCCTTCCTTCCTTCCTTTCTTTTTTCTTCCTTCCTTCCTTTCTTTTTTCTTTCTTTCTTTCTTTCTTTCTTTCTTTCTTTCTTTCTTTCTTTCTTTCT